AAGCTCTATAATGTTACTCACATCAGCATGCCACACGATGAACGTGAAGCGCTTGGCGCCCACTTGGTTGACCAGCATGCTGAACAGCTTGCTCTGGCACAAGGCAATGCTGAGGACACTTTCGCTCTTGCCAATACGATTGCGGAGGGTTTCTTGGATGCATGCTGTGATGGTCATACCAAGAAGGGTACGAGAAGGCGTGACAGTCCCCCTCGTTTTGTGCAAGGGTGGGCCGCCCCACCCATCTCTCCACAGCACGGTGCCATGTCCCGCACAGGGTGGCAATGCACCAAGCTTCGCCGTCGACTACTTGAACTAAGTAATCGTGCTGAACGTTGTGAAGCTCGTGGGTGTGCATCCTACATCGACATCCAACTCTACCACCAGCTCTGAGCCAACTGCTGCAAGCAAGTTCGACTTCTTCAACCAGTGTGTGCATCCTGGCCTGGATGGTGGACGCCTTTCTGTTGGCCCTCGGCAGCCCAGGCTCGTCGCGCTGCTGCCCAGATCCTTGCTGAACAACAACGGTATGCCGCAGAAGCCCAACGCCAGCGACTTCAACAATTGCGACCGCGAATTTCAGCATCTTGCCAAAGTGGAGGGCGAGAGGTGTGTGCCTGGGTAAAAGCGCAGACACAGCAACCCACTACCTTCCTCAACCAACCCGACACACAGGACATTGTCTCCAACCCGCTCGACATTATCAAGCTGATGCAATTAACTTGGGAGCCGATTCTTTGCAAATGCCGTGGGACTTCAGAGGTTCCCACTTGGGAGGATTTTCGTGCCGAATGCGAAGCTGAGCTGCCCCCAGTGAGCCCCTGCCCTGAGCCCACACTTTGTGATGCTGATTTCGGCGCTTTTCTCCAGGCACGCTCCTCTCGCAAGGCGGGAGGCCTTGACGGATGGGCGGCGGTGGAGGCCAAAGCTCTGCCCACAGCCATCCAATCCGTCTTCGCCGAGGCTCTCCGATCGATGCAGAATTCGGGTCAGGTCCCCTCGGCTTCCAAACGTGTTCCGAATCCCGCCTTGAGGAAGGGAGAAGGGATTTTTCCTGAAGAGCAAAGGCTCCTTTCCGTTTTGTCTGTGTGGTTTTATTCTTGGGAAGTCCCGATTTACCGAAAGCTCGACTCCTGGAGGCGCAAGTGGGGTCACCCCGCGAATCTCGGGGCTACGTCGGGGGCTCGTCTCTCGGATGTCTCCACCAGCCTTGCCTTGCAGGTCGAGTGGTCCCGACGCACCGAGAACTGGGTCCACGGTCTCGCCCTCGACAGAAAGGAGTGTTTCGACCTGCTGATAACCAGTATATGCATCGAACTTCAACGACGCGCAGGGCGCCCCGAGAGTGTGCTTCGAGTCCGTGAACAGTTTTACGCCCAGCATCGGAGATACCTGCGAATATCTGGAACTTACAGCGACGCCATGGCCACCACGAGCTGCCACTTACAAGGCTCTGCATTCAGCTTTGATGATATTAAGATGCTCATGTATGTATGGACGGCGAGACAACGCAAGGTAACACCGATATCTCTATCCATAACGTACACCGACGACTCCAACTCAACTGTGTGGGACATGGCTGGGATTGGTGAATCGCTTCGTGAATCGCTTCTTTTTGACAAACTATCTGGACAGGAGCTACATCTTGGGAAGCTGGTCGCCTGGACCACCGACGAGAACTCGGTCACTGAGCTCGCCAGCGCCACGGTCTGTGGCCACAGCCTGCCCGTCAAGCGCGCCTTCCGCCTAGTGGGCAGCCAGATCGTCACGCGCGGAGGTGACGACGCGAGCCTCATGGACCGCCACTTCGTTGCTGCAGCTCAACGACTTCAACGTGCTCAACGGCTTCCCCTTCCTCTACATAAGCGTGCCGACATCGCGCAAACGATGGCGGCATCCATGGTTGCTGTGGGCTCCGACCTCGGCACGCCATCCAACCGACAGCTGCGGGATTACTACCGCGCCATGTTTGCGACCATCATGCCTAAGGGACGGCAGTGGGCCTGCCAGTGGATCCTGTTGAGCGTCGTTCTGAAGGGCCACCTCCTCGACCCCATCGCGATCAGCCAGAGGGAAGTTACCCTCTCGTTACGCCGTCAGGTTCTGCGGGTGCCACAGCTTTGTGACTACGTGCGTGACCTTCGTGATCATATCCAAGATGCAGATGCCGCCTACCCTGGTCCAGTTCGAACGTTCGTCAAGGTGCTCAACCAGCTCAACTGGCGCTGGCCATCCTTCGACACCCTGCTGACCGACTTGGGCACCCCCATTTCGTGGCTCGAGGGGCACAGTGACTTTCCCATGCATCATCTTCGAGACGCCCAGCGACGGTGGTTTCAATGTAAGGTGCCCGCTACGCGGAACGACCTCGGCGACGTGGCCAAGCACAAGTACGGCATTGACATGGTATCAAATACGTGGCTCTTGCGAACACGCAGTCTCAAGCATCGACTTACTAAGTGGCAGCGTGGCCTTTTGTCTGCATTTCTAGCCGGCGGTGATCACGCGCAACAGAGATTGCAAAGATCATCAATTTCAGAAGACACTTCAGCGGTGTGCAGGTTCTGTGACAGAGAACAGGAAACGCAATAACACATCCTGTGGGAGTGCCCCTGCTGACGAGAAGAGCGCGCACCACTACTCCAACATCCACAAGTGCAAGAACGTGATCAGTGGCCGCCTTCAACACGTCATTGTGGTCTCACGTACATCGACGAGGAGACGGTCAACCTCTACAACGAACTCGCAGCCTTACCTGAACCCCCACAACACCGACCCCCACAGCATGTGGACGACGACCCCGCCGAGGACATGGTCAACTACACCACCGACGACGAGAACAAGCGGTGGCTGGCCTTAGCCACGGATGGCGCCTGCCGTTCCCCTCAACATCAGTGGCTAGCTCGGGCTGGATATGCTGTATATGTGGCGCCACACCACCGCCTAAACTTTTCGTCGAATCTATGCGGACCACGACAAAGTAGTGCGCGCGCTGAAGCCCGAGCTTTACTTCATGTTGTACGCGTTGCGGAAGAGCCCGTTTGGATCTACTGCGACAATCAACAATGTGTTCGTGAATTCAACAATCTACTACAAGGAGGAGAGCCGCCTGGAGGAAGCAAGCCTGAGATGTTCTACATCGAGCACGTGTACTCGCACCAGGGCGATGACGGTGTGGACCGCGGCGCTGTGCATCCGCTCGCCGAGGAGTTGAACAAACATGTCGATGTGCTTGCCGCTAATGCCGCCAAGTTACGCCCCCTCCCGACCTCTGTAATTCAGAAAGCCAGGGACCGTTTTACCTTGACCACTTTAATGCATCGTGCGATTGTTCGAATTTTAGAGAAGCGTGCTGTGACGAGACCCCTTCCCCATCGGTCTGCGGGGTTCTCGGAGTCCCAGCTCGCTCGTCTCGCTCCTTTCACCTCTGACCCTCTCCCGCCTCCTCCTCCCCGCCCTCCCCCTCCCGACTGGGGGGGGGCGATGGGGGTCGAGGTCGAGCCCGAAGATGAGGCCGACTATGACCCTTTCGGATTGGGTCTCGAGTTAGGTTAGCCTCTCGTCCGACCCAACTTGGCAACTATTTAGATAGTGCCTCGACCCGTGCCCGAGGCAAGAGGCCGCCGCCTCCGTGTCGGTTTCAGATTTGGCGGGCTCCGTTTCAAAGTCCAAACGAAGGGGGTGCCCCGTTGTGTTTTTACTTCCTTGTGGTTGAGCAGGCCCAGCGAGCCTAGACTAACAGATCCCAAGCGCGGGGCATCATCATTACCATCACCATCACCATCGTTGATGCCGCCTTTTCTGCTTCGGCTCCCCCCATCCATTCATCCATTCATCCTCATCATCATCATGATATGCTCATGATCATGATCATGTTCATCATCACCATCACCATCACCATCACCATCATGATCATGATCAAGATCATACTCATGACCATCATCATCATCATCATCACCATCACCATCATCATCATCGTCGTCATCACCATCACCTCCACCATCACCATCACCATCATCATCACCATCATCATCGTCACCATCATCATCACCATCGCCATCACCAGCACCATCATCATCACCATCCTCATCATCATCTTCATCCACCACCATCATCCCATCCCATCACCATCACATTCTCATCATCACTCATCCCATCACTCATCATCATGACCTTCACCACCATCACCATCACCCATCTCATCATCATCCTCATCGTCATCATCATCATCACCATCCCCATCACCATCACCATCCCATCACCATCATCATCGTCATCAGCCCATTCATCATCGTCATCATCCACCATCACCATGAACCATCACCATCATCATCATCACCATCACCATCACCATCACCAATCATCATCACCATCATCCATCATCCCATCATCATCAATCACCATCACCATCATCATCATCAACACCATCATCATCAACCATCACCATCACCATCGCCATGACCACCACCATCATCATCACCACCATCTCATCTCGCCATCAACCATCATCACCATCACCCTTACCATCACCGTCAATCATCATCGTCATCATCACCATCATCCCGCCATCATCATCACCATCATCCTCGTCATCACCATCATGAACATCATCGCCATCATCATCACCATCACCATCACCATCACATAACCCCACCATTCATCTCACCATCACCATATCATCATCATCATCATCACCATCATCCTCATCACCATCATCATCATCATCACCATCACCATCATCATCACCATCACCATCACCACCACCACCTCATCATCATCATCACCATCACCATCACCATAACCAGCATCATCACCATCATCATCATCACCATCAGTGCCGCTCGGGCTCGAACTCGCTGGGGAACGAGTGCGCGCAGCCCCTCCGATCAGCCCTCCGGGCCCGATTTTCGTACTGCTGGCGGCACCGACAGTGGGCCTCGCTGCAGAAGATCGGTTGTTTCTCTTGTCCGCTTCGCTGGCGTCCATCCATATTCTTTGAGATGGCGAAGAAGGCAACGAAGATCAGCGGGCCTGCTGCTCGCAAGACGAAGGTCGTCGGAATCATTCAACAGGGCGGTGGCGATCGAGCTACCGCGGCCTACAACGAGCTGATCCACAAGGACCAGGCGGGACTGGGCAAGGTGGCGGGCCAGATCCCAGAGGACAAGCAGTTGAGAGCCATCCAGAAGCTCTTGACGAAGAATAAAATCTCGTGGACCCACGAGCACCAGCGGCGCACCTCGGCTGCCACTGCTGTGACCGACGGATCCACGAACACCACGAAGGGCAAGGGCAAGGGCACCGCGGCCGTCGAGCCGCAGCCCATCGCCTTGGACGAGCACGACTGGTCCATCCCCATCGCGCAGGCTCCCAAGAAGTTGCCCGACGGCACCTACGAGTCCTCCGTCTCCCTCCACAGCATGGAGGATGCGGAGAAGTGGTGCACGGCGTTACGGCGCCAGAAGGAGCCGCGCGCCATCCTGGCCATCGGCGCGGGCAGCGACAACTGGGCCCATGCGAAGATCCAGATTCCTGTTCTCAGGGTCCCCCACGGCACCACAAACCCGCGGAAGACCTTCATGAACGGCGTCATCTACCAGTTCGGCGAGACCGAAGTTACTATGAAGACCAATGTCGCGCAGCTCAGCGAAGCGGACGGCAACGCGACCTTCATGCGCATCGCCATCCACGAGGCCGACGCGCTGCTCGTCAACCCCACCATGAATGAAGTTTTCAGCAGTCAGTTCAGTGGCGCTGCTCCTGTCGTCGTCGGCGGGCAGCGCAAGGACAAGCTGGGCAGCACAGCCAACGAACGTTGGAAGACGGCTTGCAAGTCCGATGCTAAGATCTCCATGGGCAATGGGCTACGCGACGTCATCAAGTCCACCATGCAGGCCATATGCCCCGAGATCCCGCTCCTCGACGAGCCCAGCCGCCTGCTACGAGCAGGAGGTCAGGCAGGTCAACGCATCCTGGGTGCCGTGATTGCCATCCCAAAGAACCAGGAGGACGCGCTCCTCAAGTACTCAGGCTACCAGGGCATCGCTTCTACTTTCTCGTACCTCGGCGTCGACGCTGAGAAGCAGGAGACCGACAAGAAGAATATCCACACCGTCTGGTTCAACAAGACCATCTCCATGCAGGAGGCCTACAGCCTCTCCAAGTCCCACGAGGCCGCACTGGGCGTCACGAAAGGTGATCGCGGACAGTTCGGACTACGGGTACAACGTGAACACCCCAAAGCAGGCGAAACGGCCACTGCTGGACGAGGCTCCGCCACAGCTTTGGCCCGACGCAAATGGCGTATCGACAACATCCCGAATGGAAAGGCCACTAAAGGACAAGTTGCGGACGCTGCTCAAACAGTAAGTTGGACCGCCGATATCGTCTACGTGGGCTTCGACATCAACGAGAAGACAAAGTTCGCCATCGCGCGCTCCGACACCGAGCCGACCAACAAGTACTGGAAGTTCGGCACTACCACGCCTTGGGTCGTCACCGAGGTCACCAGCGGGAACCACGGCCCCGCCGGTACTTCAGCGGCAGCGCCTACGGTCGTCCTCGCCGCCTCCCTCAACGCACAACCACCACCTGATCAACCTGCTGGCAAAGTACCTGCTGCACCAGAGGCTGCCGCGCCTCCCTGGCTTGCTGCGCTTCAAGGGGCCCCACCAGAGCAACCTGCTCCGCGAGGTGGAACCGACGCGCGGATGCAAGTTGAGCCCCGTGAACCCCCACCTGCCCCCGTTCCTGTCCGTCTCCTTGATGCTGAACACGAACGGATTCTGGCCCTCGAAGCTAGTGTTCGCGCCCAAGCTACCACCATGGCCGCTATGCAGGCGCAGCTCGACAAGCAGGACACCGCCACCACCTCTCTTGGCGCCGAGCTGAACGACTTTGCTCAAAAAACGGATGCTGCCGTCACCGGGATCAAGCAGGCGAGCGTGGCACCCAACAACACCATCCAGTTGAACCAGTCCCAGCTCCAAGGAAGCTTGGCCGCCATCCCCAAGAAGATGAATCTCCAGGAGGAGCGCGCCGACGCCCCCTGCAAGAAGACGCCGCGCACCAGCGACGGCGGCAAGGGCAGCAACGACGACGACGAACTCTGAAGGAGCCCAAGAAAGGTCAGTCCCGCCTTTCGTTGGGAAGTACGTGAACGGGGACACCAATTACATTTACTTGGTAGTGGTCTACACGCTCAAATTTTGGGGTACTGCAGCGAGTAGGATGGCTGCAGGCATGAGTATCGTGCCACAGTCTCGACTATGTCTACAGCTAGTCTGGGCGACTGCCGCAGTAACGACACGGCCGAGACTAACGCACGGGAGGCCCCGCCTCGATCCAACCCCCTCATGCGAACGCATCGTCTCAAGCGACACTTTTGCTTTTTCGTCTTGTGGGTTCTGACGACTTTGCCTCAGTGTCGTAGCCGCAGTCATCGCACGCGAGCGTACTCTGATTCAACTCTGGGTGACGGGCCCGACTATCACAAGTTCGTCTCACTCAATGTGACCTCGCTGCAAGCTCACTGGGAACTGCTCACAGCTCTTGGCGATCGAGGCGTCGCCGTTGCAGCTCTACAAGAAGCACGTCACACACCTCATCAACTCTCGGACCTCGATAAGCATCTCCATCGACATGGGTGGAAAGCACATTGGGGCCCGCCTCTCTCTCCAGGCACGCGTGTGGTTCCAACGCAGAATGGCAAGCGCCAGTACGTGACCAAAGGAGTTAACACTGAGCACGGGGGCGTCGCCATCGTCACTCCAACCTCCGAACCCACGGTTCCTACGGATTGCCAACGCCCTGTCCAATAACGTCTTCTTGCGACAAAGCGCTGGAAGGAGGTTTTTGTTCCCATCCCCAACCAGAAAGGGAAGCAGACCACTGGTTATTACCTCGCCACCGTCTACGGAGTCGCCACAGAGTCTAACGAGGACCTGTTCGCGGACGTGTGGCAAGCAGCTGCTCTTCGAGGTACGGCTGCCCCCTATTTCATCACCATGGATGCTCAGTGCGACGTCGCCGAGTCTGCGTTTCTCAGCTGGGTATTACAAGAAGGTGGCTGGAACAACGTTTCGAACGGATATCCCGACCAGAGCGCCATGACTTACGGCCGCGACCCCAACTGGAACCGCTACGACCCCATCGAACACACCTCCGGGATCGACTGCATCTTTGCGAATGATAGTGCCAATGCTATGGTCATCGACTTTCAGGTTGTTCGCGAATCCAAATGCCCTGGACATCTCGCCCTCGAAGTCACTCTCAATGTGGACGCCTTTGCAGCACGAGTACGACGGTGGGAATGCCCGAAGCTCTATAATGTTACTCACATCAGCATGCCACACGATGAACGTGAAGCGCTTGGCGCCCACTTGGTTGACCAACATGCTGAACAGCTTTGCACTGGCACAAGCAATGCGGAGGACACCTTTCGCTCTTTGCAATACGATTGCGGAGGGTTTCTTGTCGCAGTCCGTTGCACGCTCAGTCTACTCAAGAAGGGTAGCGAGAACCTCGATTGCATCCCCCTCGTCTTGTGCACAGGGTGGGCCGCCCCACCCATCTCTCCACAACGCGGTGTCATGTCTCGCACAGAGTGGCAATGCACCAAGCTTCACCGTCGACTACTTGGACTAAGGTATCGTGCTGAACGTTGTGAAGCTCGTGGGTATGCATCCTACATCGACATCCAACTCTACCACCAGCTCTGGGCCAACTGCTGCAAGCAAGTTCGACTTCTTCAACCAGTGTGTGCATCCTCGCCTGGATGGTGGACGCCTTTCTGTTGGCCCTCGGCAGCCTAGGCTCGTCACGCTGCTGCCCAGATTCTTGCTCAACAACAACGGTATGCCGCAGAAGCCCAACGCCAGCGACTTCGACAATGGCGAACACGGATTTCAGCATATTGCCAAAGTGGAGGGCGAGAGGTGTGTGCCTGGGTAAAAGCGCAGACACAACAACCCACTACCTTCCTCAAAACCCGACACCCAAGACATTGTCTCCAACCCGCTCGACATTATCAAGCTGATGCAGTTAACTTGGGAGCCGATTCTTTGCAAATGCAGTGGGGCCTCAGAGGTTCCCACTTGGGAGGATTTTCGTGCAGAATGCGAAGCTGAGCTGCCCCCAGTGAGCCCCTGCCCTGAGCCCACACTTAGTGAGGCTGATGTCAGCGCTTTTCTCCAGGCGCGCTCCTCTCGCAAGGCGGGGGGCCTTGACGGATGGGC